TTTAGATGGTTAAGCAAACAAAATATATTTTGTTTTTTCAATATTCAACGAAAGTTTATTTGCTATAAACCACTCATTGAGATATGTTAGTTCAGTGTGTACATTACAAAAAATATTTTTTAAATTTGAATCAGAATAGAAAACATTAGTGTAGTCATCAAAAATAATATAATTAAGTATTTTTGATGACAAATAAATATCATTAATATAAAATAAAAACAGTAAAGGTCCAAGTATTGATCCTTGTGGAACTCCACACCTTATTGACTCAAATGGGGAGCATGTTAAATCAAATGGTACTCTTGTTTAAATAACATTGCAGCCACTTTAAGTTAGAGTGAGCTACTCCGTAATTACATAGTTTGTTGATAAGAATCTTGTGGTTGACAGTATCAAAGGCTTTGAATAGATCTAGAAATATTCCGAGAGTGTAACTATTGTTTTCAAAACCATTTAGAATTTGGTTCGCAAGATCAATTACTGCATGCTCCGTGGAATGGTTTTTGCAAAAACCAAACTGTTTATGATAAAGAATGTTATTAGTTTCAAAATAATTGCACAGCCTGTTGTGCATAATACGCTCTAGTATTTTAGAAAAACAGGAAAGTATGGAAATTGGTCTATAGTTAGATTTTATCGAATCATCGCCGCTTTTTTATATTGGAATTATTTTTGCTAGTTTTAGTTGGTCAGGAAAAATGCCGTTTCTTAGGGAAAGATTAAAAATTATACAAAGAGGTTTCTCAATAATATCAGAGACCGCTTTTACAACATCGGGGTTAATTTCATCTAGACCCGCACTATTTTTTTTCAACATACTAATTGCTAGCCGAAGTTCATCAACCAGAAGCTCCGACTCATCCATTAAGGAATCTAATTTTTTCTAAAAAGATTCCAATGATTTACTCCCCTCAGGAACTGCACTTGGTAGTTTTTTCCCTATATTTATAAAAAAGTCATTAAATGTTTCTGCAATTTCTAATTTTTGGTAAAGTTTTTGTTTCTTTTTTGATGACTTAATGAGTCCTTTCGTCATCCACGGACTAAGCAAATTTTTAGAATTAATAATTTTTTTAACTTTTGGAAAGGCTTTTCGTATTGCTTAGTAAACACGCGAATAAAAAAATCATAGCCATTATTTACATCATTGCAATCAGTAAATAGTTCCCAGTTTAATTCTTGTAGGAGGTCGCGAAAAGTGACGATTGATTCATTATTTATGTTTCTTACATAAATAGTTTTTGTTTCTATTTTTTTCTCAGGGGTTGCCGAATCTGTGATCAGAAAAACTGGAAAATGATCAATGATATCTGTTTTAATAATACCACTTTGCATTTTAGCCCTTGTGTAATTATTAGTAATGATATTATCGATAATGGATGCAGTTGTTTTAGTCACGCGTGTTGGCTTGTTGATTATGGGAAAAACGCTGTATTGCAAAAGTGTATTTATAAAACGCGCAACGTGGTTATTTGTTTTATTATTCAGAAAATTCAAATTAAAATCACCCAGTAAATACACGTGTTATTTTATGAGCTTTAATAGCAAGTAATTTATGTGGTTTTCAAACTGATTGTAATTACCATTAGGCGGTCTATATAATGCTGTTATAAATGTATTTTTAATTGCTTTATTAATTATTTCAATAGTAAATGACTCACAATCAGCGTCATTTACTTTGAGGTTATCTACATGCTTAAAGGTCAAAGAGTTTTGGACAAAAATAGATACGCCCCCGCCAATGCCGTTTTCTCTCGGTTGATGGATGGATTTATATCCTGATAATTGAAAGTTAGAATTAATCGTGTCTCGATGACACCAAGTTTCTGTCAGACAGATAATACTGAACTTGTTTTTTATATTATTTAACATTAATTTTAAATTTTCAAAATTTTTATTTATGCTTCTGATGTTTAAATGTAATAGTGAAAAATTAGATGATGAAGAATTAAAAACATCTTTAACATCGTCAACATTGTAATAAGCCGTTTCTACTAAAATTTCGTCAAAAAAGTTATTGTTTTTATCATCGTCATTAATTCGGTTAAGTGTATTTTTCCTTCCTGGTATGTCAAAAAGAATTTATTTCTTCTCAGTCGATCTTCAAGTTGTCGCATCTTATTTTTTTCTTCTACACTAAATGCTACTTTTGTAACAATTTTTTTTCAATTTTATTGATTTTCTCCCCTTGGATATCTTGTGTAAAAGTTATACTGTGTTCAATATCTTTTTGACTGTGTTCAATTATTGAGACTCTGTCATTTGTTTTTACCATTTCAGATTTTCTTAAATTATTTTCAATTTGTAAAGTTTTGCACGTTTCTTTTATTTCTGCAATTTCTTTCAGCAGTCCATCAGTTCTTTCATTTGTAATTTTTAAATTACCACTAATAAGTTTGAGAATGTCTTTTTGCTGTTTCTTAAACATCTCAGAGAATATTTCACGAACTAATTTCACAGATATTTCTGAAGCTTTTGTATTTAATTGAATTTCTTTTTTATCACCACCTTTATTTTATCCATTTTATTAACAAGTTAAATACGAATGTTTAAAGTTAAATACCAATTATAAACAAAAAATTTTAAAATTGGGTTGGTGGAACAGTGGAGCTTTGGGGGCTTCAACTTCACTTTTAAAAGTGTGTGGGCTTAGGTATTGTAGGAAAAAGAAAATTATTCACATAACGTGCAGTAGGTTCAAAAACCATACATCAAATGATATGTAAAAAGTATGATAAACAATGCGATGAGCATTACGAATGCCCAATTTATGAAATCTCTACATTAAAATGTCTTACTCGAAAAGTCTTAAGGCCAGTTTCCACTCATCCGTTTTTCAAAGGAAACGGGATAGGAAAGGAAAAAACAATCACGTGAGTATGCGTAATAAAAGTTTTTATTTGTCCGAAAGTAAACTGCGCATGCTCACGTGATTATTTTTCCTTTCCCTTTCCCGTAGAAAAACGGATGAGTGGAAACTCATCTTTAGTTACTCAACAGAATGATAAAATTTTAGAATATTTTTGAGTATACTAAGATTTTCTTAGTCTGTATGCATTTGATGCTAACAACAATAAGTTGCTTTTTTATGCAATATGTGATGTTAGACAAGAAAATGGTGCGTGGACAAAGTTGCGATGGTGCCACTTTTATCGGCCGTAGCGCAATGGTTAGAGCACTTGCTTTATAAGAAGGAGATCCATTTACAAAACGAGTTTTTGACATATTTTCGCGTTGCGATAAGGAAGAAGGCGTGAACTTCGTGGTTAAACGCACTTCCGCGGTGTTCTGAGACAAGAGCGTTAGGTTTTCTAAGGGTACATAAATAACAACAACAAAAAAAATCTTAGGACATCTAAGTGTGTTACCAAACTTTTTAAAGATGATGTCAATGAAGCATATTTTATACATTGTTACATACAACGGCTCAAACTTGTTGAAAATGATATAGTTTATGATGAATTAAAAGCTGTTTCTGTTTAAATCCATTAAGGAAACTTATAATATTAGACGCAAAATGAATATTTAACACGTAACATCAATCACAAATTAATTTGTTGAATGAAACTAAAATCTGCATAATGTTTTCTGAAATATCAAAACTTCTTAAAATACTTGGCGATACTATTAACAATCTGCACAGCCGAACGATTTAAGAATGATGAAGTCCTATAGTCGATCAACCTCCGCACAAAAGCGATATCATCATCTTCTACTTCTTCAATTTTATAAATTAAATGCCGCAGTATTAGATGCAATTCCTATCGGAAAAGAAAATTGAATAAATTGAAAAGTAAAAGCACAAGAATTTCGTACTTTGGAAAACGTAAATTCTTTTTAGATAGTAATATATTCTTTTAGTTTTAGTCCACGCGAAATAAATATTTTGATATGACGTTAAGTTTAATTAAAATATTGTTGTAGTTTTGTATTTATTAACTGAAAATTAAAATTAGTTTTATAAAAATTCCAAAAATATTTTATCCACTTATTATTTCCTTACGCCACCCCTGACTTTGATAAATGGATTTTTTAAAAAACTTTTACAATTTGTTTTTTTTTTAGTGTTTAACCATTGCATTTAGATACTCTTGCCGAAATACTTACCAATGCCGAAATTATTTATAAATATAGTTAAATACGAATCCGAGTCCTTAAATTTAATCAAACTTGGTTTATAATTTTTTTTTAATTTAAAGCATCAAGTTCTTCTTTTATTTAAAATTTCTTCAATATTTTTGCAACAGCATTATAAAAAACAAACTAAAGTCAAACAAATAAATATTTATAAAATATACATTTAAATTGTTTAAAAATAATGTTATATAAATATTATAATAATACAAATTATTTTATAAAAAAAATATTTAAAAAATATAAGTTTGTAAAATTTGTAAATGAGAGAAATTTTCAAATCGCAAACTTTAGACAAATAAATCAATTTTTAAAACTAGGTTAAAATTTTTTAAAATTAAAAATCTTTTACTTTGTTTTCAATAATTTAAAAATCTTCTTTAGACCAAAAATATTCTTTATTAATCAAAAGTTATCCAATTTAAACTATATTCAATGTAAACGGTTATACCTAGTAATGCCAACGTAAACAGTTATACCTAGATTTACTTTATTCCTAATATTTTTAAGTTATTTAGTCTGAAATAAAGTCCCGAACTTTTCAACTCACATAAATTAAGCAAAAACTTTCCTTAGTTTTTGTGTTATTGAGTTGTTTGAAAAAGTCGATTTTTCAATTGTATTGGGAATACAGCCGTTGTATGTTAAGCAGCCGTGGCGCAATAGTTGGGGGATCTGGCTCAGAACCAAGAGGTTCGATGCCGGCTCGGGGTCAGTTAAGCGACATTGATAAGAAAGGAGTCTCCAACTTTCTGCTTAAGTAATCTATCGTATTAAGTATTGAGCATTTAAAGTCAAAGTCAAATAACAACAAATATCGTAAATCGTATGTAAAAATTACGAGGGATAATTTAGTAAACCAAAAATAATGTTAAAGACTAATTTATTTCATATCAGAAAATTAAAATTTTAAAGCAGCAACTTAATCAAATCTCATGCATTTTTGAGAATTCATTTGTGACACTTCTATGATAGCTTCAATGCTTCTTGTAATAGGATTATACTTGATTACATTTGCGTTCGGTAAACCTTTTGCCCATTTCCTTAATTAAAAAGTAAACTTATATAAATAAATCTAAACAATATAGTTTTAAATAAATTTTTAAAATACTTATCTAACAAATATTAAATAACAAAAGGTATTCACATTTTAAATTTCTTAGTACTTTGAAGGAATCTATATTTAATTTGATATGTGTTGCACCTTAGTTATAGCTTATCTCAAAGATATCAAAAGCATGGAAGGAGTTCCACCGCAAAGACATCTAATGTGTCGAAATTTCAGTATGAGACAATTAATTTATTAAACTTTATTATTAATTAGCATTCATTTAATTTTATTATTATTTTATTATTATAATTTTTAAAATAAAAATCTTATTTATTTCTGAAATTCTAATAGTAACAAATAATTATAATATAGTATTTAATTATTTTTTGCTTTTTAATACATAATTAAGCAAGGGTAATTATGTATTGTAATTTAATCCCACAAAAAAAAAACATACTTTCTAGAAATATTTAAAATTGTTTAGGAATAAAAATCAAGTTTGTTAAATAAGTTTTAAAATATAGTATTTGCAACTTATTCAAATTTTAAAGCATTTCCGATCACTGTGACCCAGTTTAGGGTGGTTCTTAAAACAATTTAAAAAATAAACATAAGATTTTAAATAATAACCATTTTTTTTTCAATAATAATAGTAATAATGTGTATATATATATATATATATATATATATATATATATATATATATATTGTATACATTATATATATATACTGTATATATATGTATTGCATATATATATATTGTATATATATATATATATATATATATATATATATATATATATATATATATATATATATATATATATATATATATATATATATATATATATATATATATATTGTATATATATATATATATATATATATATATGTATATATATATATATATATATATATATATATATATATATATATATATATATGTATTGTATATATATATATATTGTATATATATATATACATATACATATATATATATATATATATATATATATATATATATATATATATATATATATATATATATATATATATATATATACATATATATATATATATATATATATATATATATATATATATATATATATATATATATATATATAAATTTTATATATATATATATATATATATATATATATATATATAATATATATATATATTTTTTTTTTTTTTTTTTTTTTTTGGGACCCCATGTTCCTGGGTCAAAAATCCATAAATATTTGTACAAAAGTAATGAAAAAAACATTTGATTTTTTTGTTGAAAAACATCAAAAAATTTAATTTAAAATACATGTACATGGATAAAATTTCAAACAATTTTATGATGGTTATTTTTTAATTGAAGAAATAATATGTAGTTTTTTAACATCTAATCATTTATTGTTACACAATAACCACGCAGGCATTTGTTTTTAAAAGTTACGTTTTAAATGTATTTTAAATTTTTACACTAACACTTGATTTTAAATGTATTTTAAACACTAACACTTGATATTCTTGGTGACGTTTACGTTACGTTCTACGTTTACCTTCAAAGTGCAGTAACGAGCTTTTTATTTTTATGTTTTCTTTAGTTTTATTTTATTTTATTAACAGCTTCTTAATTAGTTAATCTGGATATACCAGACTGTGAAAGTAAGTAAAATTATATATTTAGTCTAAAAAATGGATAAAAAAGTGAATAGCTTTTTTAATAATTTTTTTTTAATTTTTAAATAACCTTGAATAACTCCTGCTATGAACAAGTCGTTTTTAATCTAAATTTAAATTAATTTAATTTAAATTTTCATAACTCTTAACAAACATAACCTCAATTTATGTTTCATCACACCTTTAAAAGTTATAACATTTAAAGATGTGATGAAACCTAATGTCACTATGTCCCAGCAAGTTAGGGGATTGAAGGGATTGAAGATACAATTTTGATAAATGATGTTCCTAAACCGAATACGTCCAAATTACCTGATACAAAAACAAAGGAAAACCACAACAAACTAAAGACTTTGAAACATAATAAGAAACTTGCAAATGCTCAAGTTAAACTTATTTTATGACACTGATGATTCTTAAAGAGACTTAAAGAATACTGGTCTACAGATGAATATTTTATAAAGATAAATACTTAAAATGATTTTTAATGTGGTTTAAAATAAAATTTATTTAAAATGCGATACTTTAACATACGCAACTGATGTAATTTAACTTTTCAAGATATAAATATGTTTATTGAGTAAAGTTACATTTACTTGTGTGGTGATTTTCCATTGTGCAACAAAATCTCATAACAAGGCCTATATATATATATATATATATATATATATATATATATATATATATATATATATATATATATATATATATATATATATATATATATATATATATATATATATATATATATATATATATATATATTTATATATATATATATATATTTATATATATATATATATATTTATATATATATATATATATATATATATATATATATATATATATATATATATATATATATATATATATATATTTATATATATATATATATTTATATATATATATATTTATATATATATATATTTATATATATATATATATATCAACCCTCGGAAACTGTTAGAGTTCAGCATAAGGTTGGCAAAAAAAATTTGACACAATGGGGTTATGTGGTAGTTTATTCCATCTGCCTGATTTATTTCATTCCACTGTGTAAAACTCAAACCAAGATTGCATTTTTATGTTATAGCTGTTAGAAATGACCAAACATAGTAAGAAAATAGATCTGTTTTTAATGCAGTGGGATAAAATAAATCAGGCAGATAGAATAAACTACCACAGTTAGCATAAAACATAGTAACAAAATTGGCAACATTTTACCAACCTCAAATGCTTTTAGGTTGGCGGTTAGGCCGGCATTGCCAAATGCCGGCCTATATATAATATATATATATATATATATATATATATATATATATATATATATATATATATATATATATATATATATATATATATATATATATATTTATATATATATAATATCATCCACCCCAAATTCTATATATATATATATCAAAGTTTGATTATTTTCAAAAAAATTGCTTTTTGATAATTTCTAATTTGTATATTATGTCAGCCTTTACCCAAAAGTTGACATAACAAAACTGATACCCCTATATCAAAAAATTTACAACACCTTTATATCAAAAAAATGGGTAAGAATAAACTTCACTTGGTATATACATCAATTCAATAGTTTAAAAATATAACTATAAAATACAAAACTTTAATAATAAATACTAAACTTTACCTAACTTTATTTGTTGCATCACTGAATGACTCTGCAATAAAATATTTTGGTTGAAATTCTGTCAAAGAGTATTTAGTCGCAAATATTTCTTCAAGATCAAATGGAACTTTTATGGATTTCTCAGAAAAACAATACTGCAAAGAATTTTAAACTATAATTTATATATAATCATGTTTTTAAAACAGATTTTATTAAAAAAATTCTTACTTGAAGCTCTCCAATTGATGACAAAAGTGCAGCTCCATATGCTTTCACTTCATTATTCTGCAAGCATAATCCAACCTCTACTGTGAACATATATAACTAAAAAAATATTTTATATTATTATTATAACAAAATATAAGATATAACTTAATGCAACCTATAATATATTGTAATATGTTTTGAACAAAATAAATAAATAATGTTGTAGTTATACAAAAACAAATATTGTAATTATATAAAAATATATAGCATGATGTGCTGTAATTTACATTGAAACATATTTTAAATAATTATTTTTCATAATTGGTGATAATAAAAAGCTGATTTGCAATACTTTAGACAAAATTTAATTCCTATATTTTTGATAATTTTTTTTTTACAAATAATAGCTTGTCTAATGCATTTATTTATTAATGTCTATTTCAATTTTAAAAAATTTAATAAAATCTATTGTTGTATTTAACAGTTTTTAATATATGTAATATATTTTATATATATAGTTTATAATATATATAATTACCTTATAGTTTATAATAAATAATCATACTTTTAATATTTAATCATACTATATTTAATATATGTCATACTCTTAATATACATGTTATACTCTTTTTTCTAGAAACATAAAAATGTAAAAGACACAAAAATTAAGTATAAATTTGAAATGAAAATTCATGAATTTAAACTGTGATGCAATATGCCACATAAGGCATATTGCATCATTTAATTTACCGTTGCCAGCTTTAAAATAATCTCATCTGATGCGCCAAGGGAAGCCAATCCAATTTCCTAAATTATTTAAAACTTTTTATTTGTGTAGGTGTGCATATTAATATGCATAAATGCATAAATATATATATATATATATATATATATATATATATATATATATATATATATATATATATATATATATATATATATGTATATATATTTATATATTTATATAAATATAAATATATGGGCAATTCCACTGTTACATACAGGACATTTTGATTTTTGTAATGTCACATTTTTAGAGATATATTTTTTATTGTACCAGACTAGATGTTTATTTATTTATTAACTATCCTAAAATCATTTTTTTGTTTTACTGTATTTTGAAATTTTGTTCAATTTTTATAAGTTTAGGAATTACAGTTGATTATACGAAGTAAACCTGTTGTTTTCAGTTGAATATTAATAATTTTAATAATAAGCACACCAAATATTTAACCTACAAAAATTAATTTTTTAAATTATGTTGTTATTATTCTGCATATAATTACTCAAAAGATTGTTTTAACTATTTATTTATAGATCTTAAATCAAATTAGTCATCATTACCTTCAGGGAAAATTCCACACATTTATCAAAATGTAGGTTAGCTATCATTTATATAGAAAGTGATGACGTAGAACTTTAATTTGAAATTAAAAACAAAATAACAAAAACAACATTATGATTCAAAATTTAAAATTTTTAAACATATGGCAACCCAATATAAATATATATATATATATATATATATATATATATATATATATATATATATATATATATATATATATATATATATATATATATATATATGCATATATTTATATGTAATAATAAATTTATATGTATATATTTTATTTATATGTATATACACATATAAATAAAATATATAAAAATATATATATAAATTTGTATATACCTATAAATATATGCACATATATACAACCCTCGGAATTAGGTAAAATGAGGTCGGCAATAATCTGCCAACCTCAATCTTTTTGAGGTCAGTGTCAGGCTGGCAAAAACTATTTGATACAAAGGTCTGACCATAAAACATAGACATGAGGACAGCAATTTTTTGCCGACCTCATACACTTTCAGGTCGGCAGTTAGGTCGGCATTACCGAATGACGACCCTAATTCCAAGGGTTATATATATATATATATATTTATATATATATATATATATATATATATATATATATATATATATATATATATCCTTATAGTGTAGTCGAAAGAGTCGTTTAATGTAAAAAAAGTCTCTTACGACTACAATTTTAATTACCTCGTCTTTTAAGCTGTATTTGATTGTCGTCAAAATGTCAAAGCAATTAAATTAATGCGGAAGTACATTAAATTTTATTGTTTTTTAAAATTTTTTTAAAAAACCGCAATAATAACGACTAGAAAGTTTTTTTTAATTTGTAGTGCTTCTGTTTTTGTTTTATTAAAAAAACATTTTTAAAACATGCGTAAATGTTGCAACATCGACTATCTTATAGCCTGACTCGCAACGGAATGCTGCTACATCGACTGACAAATAGCCTGACTCGCAAGAGAGTGCTGCTACAACGACTTACAAATAGCCTGACTCGCAAGGGAATGCTGCTACATCGACTGAGGGTTTGGTTTGGGCAGGCAGTCTATCATTTAAAAAAAAAAAATATTAAAGTTTTTAAACTTTTTCTGGTCTGGTTTATTAACGCGCTCTTTAAAACTACAGTTTATGGGAAACTCTTTTTAACTACCATGCAAGAGTATATATATATATATATATATATATATATATATATATATATATATATATATATATATATATAATACATATATATTGCATATATATATATACATATATATTGCATATATATATATATATATATATATATATATATATATATATATATATATATATATATATATCTGTGTGTGTGCATGTGTGTGTGCATATATTTAGATGTTTATATAAATTTATATATATATATATATATATTTAATTGATATGTATTTACAGCCCTCGGAATCAGGAAAAATAAGGTTAGCAATAATTTGCCAACCTTAAACTGTGTAAAGTCAGTGTTTTTATTCTTTGTTTTATATAATATATATATATATATTTTTTAATTTACCTCCCCAAGGCAAAGAAGGCCACCACAGATGAGGAAGCTACTTGTGGTTAAAACCCTCTCCAAAATCATTAACTCTGAAACATGAACCTTGACAAACAAGGCGGCTGCGCGGAGAAACAAGTTGAGCGCGGTAATACCAGGGATGTGGTGGGAATTGAACTCAGAATCTCTTGCTTATGAAGCAAGCGCACAATAACTATACCACTACCATATTATACCGCATATATATATATATATATATATATATATATATATATATATATTTATATATATATATATATATATATATATATATATATATATATATATATATATATATATATATATATATATATATATATATATATATATATATATATATATATATTCACACAAAACAACGAATAAAAAAAAAAATGTATATTTATATTTAGGGGAGAGCAGCATAACTGGAATAGCCCATTAATGGGATTAAATAAGATACTAAAAGAAAGGTTTAAATATACAATTTAATACTTTTTAATGTTAATGAGATAATAATTTACATTTTATTATAAACATTTTATACTCTGCTGTAAGCACAACTTTATAGTGATATGACAAAGCAGTTCAAATTTTTTTAAATCTAGAACTGTAAACTGGAACTGTTTTGCAGTATTCTTAATTGGATGTACCAATGCAACAATCAGATAAAACTGGATGCGGAGTAATGAAAGCCAGGACTATTATAAGTATAAATAATAGAATATATTAATAATATCTTAAAAATACCTGAGACAACTCAGCAAAATCAGGATCGGCAAGCAATGGCACGTGACCCAATAGTTCATGCACAGTATCTCTAATAAAAACATGCAAAAGAAATTTAACTTAATACTACATAAATGAAATCAGAATCATTAATTAAAAAAACAAAATAAAACTAGTTTTAATTGGAAAAAAAAATTACGGTTCAGGAGTGAAAAGTGGGTCGGAATGATGTCTGATATATTGTGTTGCATGAAAAACCTTTAAAGCTAAACCAGCCAAAAAATCACGTGAAGACAACAAACCAGCAACTGGACGAATAGTAAAACCGGTCCTTTCTAATAAGAAAACAATACATATAATACAAAAATAATATAAAATAATATAAATAAATAATATAACAACAATATACCATAAACTATTTAATGCTTTTATTAAAAAAACCATTTATTAGCAATGATAAAATCAAATATTCATATACTTTCACTGAGACTCAAGTATTTTAAAATAGATAAAAAAAAAACAATCCTGGAATTCTTTTAAGGATAAAACACAGTAAAAAATGAAGTAACTGACACTAATGATGAATAAACAACGACAACAAAAAGTTCCAACCTTTTAGAAAGTTAGATACAACTTCAAGCTGAGGTATATTTCCCACTCTAAAAGCAAAAAAAGTAAATCTGATCTATTTTTTCATATATAAATAACATATTGTTGTGATTTCAACTTGAATCATTAATTAGCTTTGCTAATTATTGACAAAAGTCAGATGCTGTATTTTTTTATTATAACATTTTTGTATAATGATCATTATTTCGTGACAAAAGTCAAAAGTTGTATTTTTAAATGATATTGAACAACTTTTGAATAAGACAAGATTGTTTATAAGTAAAAAATTAAAATTATGAAAAAACAAGATGACTTTTAAATGTGTGGAGCAACATGTGTTGTACTTTCACAACAATGGTTGAAATTAAATATTTATACTTTTGTTAATATTTTAAGCATATTATATGTATAACTTTAAACATGAATAGAAAGAAGTAAAATAATATACTATTTTTCAGAAAAATTTCATCATATTTTTAGTTTTATAACTAAATTTTCATTGGAAAAAAATTTTTTTGGCAAATTTTGTATATATATATCTTGTTTATATATACTTTGTTATATATATATATATATATATATATATATATATATATATATATATATATATATATATATATATATATATATATACATACATATATATATATATATATATATATATATATATATATATATATATATATATATATATATATATATATATATTTATATATATATATATATATATATATAATATATATATATATATATATATATATATATATATAATATATATATATATATATATATATATATATATATACATACATATATATATATATATATATATATATATATATATATATATATATATATATATATATAAATATATATATATATATATATATATATATAAATATATATATATATATATATATATATATATATATATATATATATATATATATATATATATATATATATATATATATATATATATATATACACACATATATATTTTAACATCTTCACTTCCAACAAAGCTGCGAGCAGCCACTATTAGAGTTATAAGTTAGGTAAGTTACTGGAAGAAAAAAGATAAAGTTTATAGAGCAAGATAACAAATAACAGGTGACTTAAAAGGTTCCAAATTATATGAAATATATAAATTAAACATGAATAGAAAAAATAAAAATAATATACTATTTAGTATATTATTTTTATTCTAAGTTACTGGAAGAGAAAAGACAAAGTTTATAGGGCAAGATAACAAATAACAGATGACTTAAAAGATTGCAAATTATATGAATCAGGAAAACAAGATGAAGGAAGCAAATTTTAAAGAACTAATGTTTGAGGAAAATCACACACCTCCTCACAAATGTGTTTATGTTTTAAAAAAGTGCACACGCCCAAATTAAGTTTTTCTAGCAAAGTATTATTATAGTGATCAGAAAAAAGTATTTCACAAAATTTTCATTTTAAAACTATTTAATTAAATAATTTTAAAATAAGTAAACCATTATATTTGTAATTCTATTATATATATATATATATATATATATATATATATATATATATATATATATATATATATATATATATATATATATATATATAAATAAATTAATTAATTGCTACAAACCAGTAAAATAAACAAAGTAGCAGTAAAAACCAGAAGCCTTTTAAAATGATATTAAGTTATAAATTATAGTAGATACTTAAAGTTAATTTTTTGGTTAATTATTTCTTTAATTTTTATTGCTTTATTCTATAACTTAACTATCTTATATAGTTTAATCATATTACAAAATATAAATAGATTTTAAAATATTGTATTATATAATAATATTTATATTATATATTTGTATATTACGCAATATATTAAATACTTGTGTATATACTTGTGTTACATGATTATATATACTATATAACAAAATGTAATATAAATGTATTATATAAGTATGCTTTTTAATCTAGCTAAAAGTTAAATAAACAACATAAAGTTTGACTTATAATGCATAATTTTGCAGCAACACACTTTGATACTGGTCATAAATGCTGCTGCATAAATATGCTATCAAAAAGCAGGCAGAACATTTTCAGATACAGCTTTGATACTCATTAAAACATTGGTTTTACCGAACTATAGCATTGAAAATCCACCCTTTGCGACTGGAATATGCAACACCTGTAACAGAGTATTATTACTACATGGAAAACCCTATGTGGGAACTACTCATCCTCTTCGTATGCATCCATCAGGAGTAGTTCTCTCCGTCCTAACCAGAAGTAAAAATCTCTGTGATTGTATTATCTGCAAAGTAGTAGAATCAACATTACCTGGAACAAAAAGAACTAAACCTAAAGGTAAACCAAGAGTTTAGGAAAAACCATCTCAAAAAATGTCTATAACTATTTGTAATCAGTGCTTTCAATCCATTGATTCATTACAAGGTCATAATTGTACAAAGGTTTTTGGTTCAACAAACCTTCAGCAGATGATTGAAAACTCCTTGAATCAAGAAGCAGGAGAAAACATAGCTGCTGATCAAATTAGAAAAAAGTTCAAACAATCAGAAATTACATTTCTTAAAATAGGAGGTCGATCATTTACAAAAGTTTAGAACTTAATTTTGGGACTTCAAAATCATAGTTCAAAGTATCCTTGTTGCTTCTGTAAGAAGAGTACAGACTGTGTAGACTGGCTTTACTCTAGAGAAGATAAACAAACCTTTGGATCAATTGGAGAACAATATCTTGCTTGGAAACAAGGATGTAATTCTGACTTATCACTGAAAGAATTTTATAATTGTTATGGAAGTATGCAATGTACCTGAACTTCATCTCTATACAGGAACAATTAGTCTATTGTGGAATAATTTATCAACAAGATGAGCACAAGAAAATTGGAAAATCTTTTTAGAAAAGAATTGCTTGTCAGACAAAAACTTCATGGTGGAGAGTTTGAAGAGACCAGTGTAAGAAATTAATGAGATTAGCAAATAAGCTTAGAGATGCTCTTCCTGAAGATCTTTGGGGATTTTGTGATGCCTTTGATGGTTTTGATACTGTGGCTTACTTGTGTTTTAGCAAGATACTCAGTATGGATTTTGAAAAAGCAATAGCTGATTTTTTTGATATTTTCATCACTTTAGAGATCAAAACAAAGAGTACCAAACTCTATATATTATTTTGCTATGTAAAGGAGTTTTGAAGAAATAATGGATACGGACTGGGAATTTACAGCGAACAAGCAGGAGAAACTATACACTCAAGATTCAGTGAGTTTTCTTGATACAAACTTCCAAGTGAATTTCAGAAAGAAACATACAAAAACGATCTATTACGTCTTATACTTTCATACAATGTAGAGAGAATTTGAGGCCTTATTATGTTCAGTCTATATCGGCTAACAAAATTTTAAACTAAAATATTTTATTATTAATTTTGATAGGATTCTTTAAATTATTGATCTGAAATATAAATTATGTCATTTAAAAAAATGGTAGTCTATGCCTTAATAGGTTCTACAAACTTCATTCTAAACCTGTTGTTTTTCTGTATTTTTTTTCAGACACACTTTTCAAATTTTGTGAAATACTTTTTTGTGTACACTATAATTATAACTAGGTAGAAAAAATTAATTTGGACGTGTGCACTTTTTTGAAACATTAACACTGTTGTGGGGAGGTGTGAACACTAGACAAATAGGATTTTTTGAAGCACTTAGAAACAGTCACAGTAAAAGGATGAGACTTAATTGAACAACGAGTAAGGCGAGAATGAATTTTAGTAAATGACAAAAGAAAGGCTAGCTCTTTAGAGCAGTCTCCATTATAGTATTTATAGAAAAGAGAAAGAGAAGGAATATTATGACAATGTGATAATGGTTGAAGGTTGGCTGCAAGAGCAGATCCAACTATGTTTACAATGCGTTTTTGCAACTTGTCTGAGAGAGAAAGCAGATCATTGGAAGATTTACCCCAGATATGGCAACAGTATTCCATGCAAGGACAGATTTGAGATTTATAAATATATAGAAAAGAATCCTGAGTAAGAAAGTAGAAAGATAAAGAGATGAAACCTTAGCAGATGCTAACTTTGCAATAAATTTGATTGGTTTCCATGGTTTCCATGAAAAATTTGCAGTAAGAGTTAAAGATGAATGTTAGATGACTCATTGAGTACATTGCCATTCATAAATATAGGAAGATATAGGCTATTGAGATAACGATTACCTGAAATGATTTTTATCTGAGTTAAGGTTTACCAGCCACGGAGAGTCATCAACTACTCCATGCTGTAGCAGAGTAGAATCAGCCACTCCATGCTGTAGAAGAGGTTAGAACCTTTTCAAGCTCAAATGCCCACTCCAAATAATCAGAGAGTGTAGGCTTCTTATCAGGACAAGAATAAATGGTAGCATTATCAGCAAACAATGCCACCTTAGATGTGTGAATTTCTGAGAGATTGTTTATGTAAGTTAAACAAAGTATAGGGCCAAGGATATACTCTTGAGAAACCTCTGAACTTCTTTATACTACCAGTCAAAAGTTTGGGACCACTTGCTTTATTTCTGAACTCTAATGCAATTTTCTTCAAAATTAAAGCTCCTTCCATCAAAAAATAGCAAACATAAATTTTATAATTTTTTTTTGAGATTTTGATTATAATGACATTCACACATCTATTTGTGTGCATAGAGTGTAAATTTATTATCATTACAATAATGAATACTTTGGGTATAGTTTACTGTTGTACTTGGGTATAATTTACTGTAATAAATATATTACTCTATATATATATTCATTGTTGCTATTTATAGTTTTATTATACAGAAAGGTAATCGAAACATTCTTTTTGTTAAATATTGTAACATTCATAGAATAATAATTATGAACATTAAAACAATTTAAATTATTTTTTCCTAGTATTAAAATTGAAGACAAGTATATATTTTTTTGTTTTGATTGATAAAAAATTGTTAGTAAATTAGAGAAAAATGAGCTGTTATTGTGATATTACCCAAGGAAGATTATTCAACATGATTTGACTACAACAAAAATTGTTTCAAAAACCAATATTTCTCAAAATGCAGTTATGAGAGAGTTGCAAAGAAAGCAAGAAACTGGATGTATGCCATTGTTCGGTGAGGCCTAGAGCAACGCTGGGCTAAGCAGACAAATTCATACTGGGACTATTCATTCCAGATTTTTTAAAGCAAACACTGCAAACCAAAAGTTTGTTTTGCAGAGGAAAACAAAACTAAAAAATCAAAAAAAAAATTACATTGACATACCTATATCCACAATTTTTAACTAAAAGTGGAAACAGTTCGTTTACTTCTTTGGATGCGTAAATGGGGTATTTTTCTGTTAAAACTTTAAACAGACTATTCCTGTGAAATAAAATATAACATTATAACAAACTTTAAAAACCTACTTAAAGAACTTTAACAAAAGTTCGTTATTCAAGTTAATAAAAATCAAAATTTTCTTTATTGCGATGTGTATGCATAAGTTATACATACACATTGCGAGAAAATATATTTCGACTTTTGTTAACTTGAATAACAAACTTTTGTGTTATACAGTATTACCAGAAGCATTTTATGTGCAGGAAAATAAAATCTTAATACACCTTTTAGTATAATCCTCAGTTTATTTTTATTTACCCTCAATTTATACTTTAGAACATACAGTTTTATTCTTCATGAGTCATTTTATTTTTGAAAAAATCTGAAATAAAACATTTTACATTTGTCCCAAATTTTACCAACCACCCATTATTTATAAATTGTATGAAAATTACAAAAACCATTTAATACAAAAATAAAGTTTCTTTAAAAAACAAATTATAAGAATTTAAAGTATAAAATATTTTTAAACATGCACTAACAATGCTAACTAGCAAAAAAGCAAATATAATTTAGAAAAAATAAGTTTGTTGTCAACATTAATTTCTATAATAATTTTTTGTTTTAAAAAATAATGATTAATTAAATAAATGAAAATAAAATTTTGATAAAAAGTAAAAAATATTTTTTTAAACAAGAAAAAAATAATAGCATTTTTGTATTTGCTTATAATATTAAATATTAGATTTTCTTTCGTTCATTTTTCATTCTTTCCAAGTTCTTTAATAAAAACAATTAAAACCATAAGTAAAAAAAAAAAATTATGTTGTTTTTTATTATAAAGACAAACCTTATAAAAGCATTTAAACCTTTTCTGCTAAGGCCTATGTAATATTGAGAACAATTAAAACCATGCAGCCCCTAAAACTGCGAGGCTCCTAAAATGTGGTCTAGTCAAGCTGTAGGCAACACCAACAAAAAGAAAATATATTATAATAAAACAATAAAAATGTACTATTTCAATTATTTTGTAATAATAGTATACCATGTTTCAATCTCTTGAGAAGTGTAAGTAATTCTTGGTATTACTTGGCCACTATAACAAAGTAATCATTCAACAAATAATGAAGCAACCAATCACTTTATATACAACATATATACTCAATACACAACCAATACATGTTAAAAAATAATCAGCAATTTAATTAGAATTTTTGATATTTAAAAAAGAACTTTTTAAAAAACCATTAAAGTAAATAAACTATATTAAATCAAAAATTAAAAATGACATAAAATATCATACTATTGATAGTTTTTAGCGATGGAAGCTAACTCAGTCCTTCTTTGACGATAAACTGGGTCAGTAAAGCTCTATCATAAAATTATGTTAAATACATCAAAATCAAATCAATTAAAATTAGGTTAAAAAAAATTTTCAAAAATTTCACTTTAACCCTGAATAATAATCAAGTATACCAAAGTGTATATGAGGAAGTGACTGAGATCCCATTCCCACTCCCGGCTAAAAATGAGACTTTTTACAAACCAGGGCCTCTGCCCCTGCAAAACTAATGAGATTTAGCAAGGGTTAATAGCCAGAGCTAGAAAAAATTTTATAATTTATTAAATAATATAATTTTTTTCTTACATTTAGTATTTATTAAATACTGACATATATTTATACATTTTCAAACTCCAAATTTACTTCCAACAAGATTACAAGCAACCACTATGAAGTTTGAGTTACTTTAAAATAGAGAATAAGTTAAAATACTAGAAAACGGTTAACTGAAAACTTTAAAAGTCATAGATTGTATAAAAAAAGAAAACATGAAGATGGGTTAGAGTTAAAAAGTTTTTTTGATGCGCAAAGAAAAAAACTGGATTAATAAAAATTTTTATAGCATGAAGGGAGAGATACAGTAATAGGATGCAACTTGTTGAATAAGAAGCCAAGCAAGAAAAAGTTTGAGCATTTACCATAATAGTACTTGTAAAAAAAAGAAAGGAATCAACCTTACAGCAATGGGAGAGTGGCTCATGCTTGGCAGATAAAGCTGGTCTAGATAATTTATAATGTGCTTTTAAACTTTGTCTGAGAGTAAGAAAGTTGTTATACTATATAGGAAGCCAACAATATTGCAGTATTTTTTTGCAGTAAATAAATTAGTTTGTTATCTAACAAAAATTGTGGATTTTAAATCCAGAATTCAAATCCATAAGCCACTGCAAGCCTTTGGCTGTTACAAAAGAAAGATCAGATTAAAAATTGGCTGCTTGTTAAAAGTAAACAAAAAGTAAATATTTCATGTCAAGATGAGAGTATGAAGTTGAGTCGTCTGCAAATAGAGCCACTTTGAATGTAATATTTTCATGAAGATCGTTATTGTAAATAAGAAACAATACTGTGGCAAAGATAGAACCTTATGGTACCCTTAAAATTACTTGAAATAAAGAAGAGCGTAGGCCTTCATAAATAATTGTATGCAGTTTAACTGCAGTTAGAAAGATATAATTTCAAAACCTTTACATAAAAAAACTAATAACAGAGTGAAGATTAATCATAGGATAGATGGAGAAGTCTAAGTGTTTTGAAAAATTGGAACCACTTATTTAGCACTTTTTAAAAGTTTAGCAAAAAGTGAAGAGAGTTCTAGAGAACACTTTTTTAAGACTATGGTGCGATATTCAAGAGCACAAACTGTAGAAGTGTTTAATTAAGAATTAACTTTTAGCATTGGAAGTTAAAGTGATTTAGATGTTCAACAATGGGTTAATCTATTTAACTGTCAGGAAGATTATGGCCATTAGATTCAAATTAGAGTAATATTTCTTTGCAAAAAACTCTGCTTTATTCTGGATAGAAATAAAAAGATCAGACCCATAAATTAGAAACTAAATGTTAGACTTACTTTAGTTAATGACATTGTTGAAAACATACCAAAAGAATCTATAACCTAACATCTGATAGAAGATTTAATAAACTGAGAATAACAGAGTTTAGCATCAAACAGGACCTTTTCAGATTAACTTCTTGGAATAATAAAAAATAATTTGTTCTAAAAAGAGATGTTCTTGTAAAAAAATTGAAAAAAATTAAAGATGATGAAAAATGCAGTAGAACAAAGTTTGAGTTAAAATTAAAGAGTAGGAATAAAAGCTTCCAAACTTTTAGTCCAGAAGCAATAAAAGCTCCAAGATGCGCTTTATGCATACATGTTATGCATATAAATATATATATTTGCTATTTATTCAAATGCTGGCATACAATATCCTTTCATATTTATATTTATATGGTGTAGTATTAGCTGAAAGAGAAAATGATCAGATAAGTGTTTGTTTTTACTCTAGCAAGAAAAGAAAAGACAAGACTATTACAGGAAATAGCATCTCTTCAAAACAGACTACCAGTAGACCATCAACTTGGAAGGTTTCTTTGATACCAGCTGCTTTTTTGAATCAATGCTTCTTTCAGGCTTTTTGCATGCTACTCCATTACAAAGCAATATCTTTTGCTTCTGCATCGCTAACTCTAGTTGCAGCAAAGATATGAATTTAGTCCAATAAGATTAAGAGTATCAATAGCTTTCAACATTGTTTGGCTGATCAGTGTTAATTTGATTAGCACCGAAAAGAATTTGTTGTCATCTTCCTTCTCTGAAAAATCACTGCTGCTTGGTACTGAGAGGTCAGTATGGTTATGGATAACAGCAACATTTTTTACCTTTTCCAGTACAAGTCTTTCAAGATATACTGTTTTATCTTTGCCAATGTTTTGTCTACAATTCCTATTACCAATTTGCATTGAGCTTGTTGGCCATGCAAGAAAAGCTTGTCTTCTTCAATTCTGATTATAGCATGAGCATGCATGCAATGTTAAAGATGCAAGCTTCTTTTGCATGTTGAACCTCTCCTTTTTTTATAGCATTCTTCTCAACCTCTCAGTACTAGTCAAGAAGTACTTCTAAGTTTTTGATAGCCCGTTTTATAACCTTAGGTATATACACTTTACCCCAGTTGCTCAACAGCCAAAACATTTGTCACAGTTAGAAAAACTAGTTCAGAAAAATCTTCAGATGGTTCACCAAAAAAACGAACAACACTTTTTGATCATAGTTTTAACTAAATATATATTTATAATAGATATTTAAATAAATATTTATATAGCTGATATAAATAGATATTTATATAGCCGATATAAATAGATATTTACATAGCCAAAATTGAAATATTATAACACTTGATTTTCGTAACTAATTTGATATGTGCTAGTAAAACTGGCTATTTATATGAAAATCAAATTTTCTAAAACATTCTCAAAACAGTTTCTACTTTTTTCTAGAAGATTCTAGAAATATTGTAGAACCTTCCAGAACTTTTTAGAATTGTATATATTTTTCGAGAACTTTCTAAAATTTTTTAGCATTTTCTGTGTGTTTATATATATATATATATATATATATATATATATATATATATATATATATATATATATATATATATATATGTATGTATATATATATATATATATATATATATATATATATATATATATATATATATATATGCATATATATATATGGATATATATATATATATATATATTATATATATATATATATATATATATATATATATATATATATATATATATATATATATATATATATATATAAATATATTATATGCATAATATATATTATATATTATGCATATAATATATGAATAATTATTATTAAAAATTTTATACATACCGGGTGATTTCCATCAAGCTCTAAACCATAATTTAGCACATGACTAGGATGCTGATCTAATTCTGCTTCGTTTTTTGGAAACCAATGTACTATAATAAATACATGATATTATAAATAACTAACAAAATTAATATTACTGTAATAACAATTATAATAATATAAATAATAAAGCTAGTTGATTTTGACTACTTTTTACCTTGAGAGGGAACTTAATTTAAAATTTTACAATAAAACGATTATCATTCAAAATATTTCTCATCAACTCTAAATAGTTCATCATCTAAATTTATAAAAAGTTCTCTTACAAGTCTACGATAATAAGTACACAGGCAGCAATAGCATCTGACCTGCTTATTTTTTTATGATTTCATTAACAGGAATTATGAGATATCTAGTACAACCAGATTTATAAAGAATCATTTTAGACACAATTAATAGGCAGTTTGTTAAAATCAAAATGTTTTCCAAGAAATTACAGATTATCAATCAAATATGGCAGCAATTAAAAAATAACTTTTTTTAAAAGATCTATATAGATTTATTCGAAACTGAAAACCAAATAAATTAGATCCAATAAAAAAAATGTGCTCCTTTAATGAACAGCTACTCAAGATGTCTTATGCTTGCCTTGTCTTAGTTGAAGTTGTAAATATAAGTGATTTTTCTCCCTTTTTATTAAGGAAACTCTTGAGGAGGAGACAACAAGTGGAAATCTTCACAATTAGGTAGTGAAGAGAATATATGAATCTTAAGTGAGGCTAAAAAATTGTTGCCTAATGCAGCAATTTGTTAAATTTTGTGAAAACTAAGATAAGAAAAGAGTCAAAATTTAAATTATCTGGATAATTTAGATCATCTATCTAGAGAGAATTTAGTTATGTGATATCACATAACTAAATTCTCTCTAGATAGATGATCTAAATTATCTATGTATATGTATATATGTATATATGTATGTATGTATGTATGTATGTATGTATGTATGTATGTATGTATGTATGTATGTATGTATGTATGTGTGTATGTGTGTATGTGTGTATGTGTGTATGTATGTATGTATGTATGTATGTATGTATGTATGTATGTATGTATGTATGTATGTATGTATGTATGTATGTATGTATGTATGTATGTATGTATGTGTGTATGTGTGTATGTGTGTATGTGTGTATGTGTGTATGTGTGTATGTGTATATATACAATGTTGTATACAATATATACAATATATATGTTATATATACAATATAGTTACATATGTAATATGTATATATATATGTAATATATGTGTATGTGTGTATGTATGTATGAATCTAAATTACATACATGTAACCGGTTACATTCTCTTATTTTTAATTAAATATTAACTAAATAAACTTGATAACGCAGTAAATGTTTGTTTATCATTGCCATATTGCTAATTACCATATTTATTTTTATTGTACAATTGCTTCGTCTCAACTGGTTTCTTTTTAATGAAGAAAAAATTTTTTCTTTATAAAAAAGAAACCAGTTGACACTTTTAAATGTTTCAAAAAACGTTTTTTTAAAAAAACGTTTTTTGAAACGTTTAAAAGTGTAGCCAATTGAGACGTAATGTAAAGTAAAGTAAGCGCAGTTAAAATGTCTCAAATACAGATTTTTTATTTACGTTACATTATGTCTCAATGGGTTACAATTTTAAGGTTCAAAAAAACGTAAAATAAAATCTATATTTGTGACGTACTTTAACTGTCTATCGATGTCTCAAATTTGAGATATCGATTCGCGACGTTACGGCTAAATTAGCTATTTTTTTAACTTTTAAAAGTGTAACCAATTGAGTCGTAATGTAACGTAAAAAAAGAGGCGCAATTAAAATACTTCTTAAATGCAGAATTCTTATAAGTTACGTTACGTCTCAATTGGTTGTATTTGCTTTACGTCTCAATTATTTACTCTCGAGTCCTTAATACAAGGGGTGAGAATGAAAAGAGGGTGGGTAGGAATTTTAGTCTAGGTCTAATTAACGCGGCGGGGGTTATCAAAACGGGTGAATTCAGGGGTTTTATACTTTGGTGAGAAAAAATGTCGACGATTTTTAAAACCTGTTTACTAAACGATTTTTAAAGCCTATTATATAAATTATACTTAATGATTTTAAGATTTAATAAACATTGCTTTATGGATTGGTGATCAGATTTTTTTTTTTTAAAGGGTCTGGGAGACGTTACCTACTTAAAAAATAGGCATATATCCGGGTGATGCTTACTTTTTATGGTCTTTACGTTCCTAGATTTTATTCGGCGCATTTTTTTTGTCATAGCATCATTAAATTACATAAGTATGAACATACGAAAGTTAGATTTTTTAACTCGGAAAATTTTTTTTAACTTACCCGAACTTTCTATTTAATGAATTAATTAGTAAAATAACTTATATTTTAAATAGTAATTAGGTTTTTGAGTTTTTAAAGTTTTAATAAAGCCACAATTAAAAATATATATAAAATGTCAACAAACTTTTTACAATAATAGTTTGAATAATAATTTCTAAAATTATTCATGTCAACTTGATTATAAATTATAATATTAATTTAAACATTATTAAAATAATGTTTAAATTTGTAAATCTACTTTTGTGTTTACAATTTATAATTAGTAATGCTTGATTAGTATTTTTTTTTATTTTTTATTTTTATTGTTGCTATATCTATTTGCACTATAATTGTATTTTTATTTGCATATTCTTATATATGTTTACATTTAACTACATATATTATCATATATGAAGACATTTATATATATAAAAACAAAAAATTATAACATATTAAGAAACCACGCGTTACGATGTTACGTCTTGTAAGGTTAAAATTGTTGCTTTTTGTTACGTTAAAATAACAAACATATGATACGTAACGATACGTAAAAATGTTACGTCGCCTTACGTAAACATGTTAAGTAACAGTTTCGCAACATTGCGTCTCATTACGTAAAAAAGTTTCCTCTCGGCAAGTACGATTAACAGACATTTTGCACGTATTGTAACCTGGTTTCGTTACTTATCTAAACTTAGAAATGTTATGTGGGATATGTATGTAAAGATAGGGTAGTAGCAGGGTAGTTAATTTTCTTGAGTTAGGTGTGTATTATGAATTTTTCTTTCTAAGTGTGTATTATGAATTTTTCTTGTAAAAATTCATAATACACACCTAGGTTTTTGTTTTTTATTTTATATATTTATACTTTATATATATATATATATATATATATATATATATATATATATATATATATATATATATATATATATATATATATATATATATTTATTTTTATCGCTCAAACATTCTTACAACAGTCATTCATTGAAAATTATCGAAACGGTAAGCCATTTGATATCATGGAATATTTTAGAGTTTACAATGCATTGCGATAGAATTATTATAATTATTTAAAATTTAAAATTCAAAACGATGCAAGATTGTGAGTTTTATATGTATGGCCTATAAGATAGCCATATCAAATTTAGCACGTATTTTATTAAGGATTATTCCACATTAAGTGGCATAGTTATGTGTTCCACAAGTGGGCCACATTTATCTTCATCAAATACGCCATTCATTAACGGTAATATATTTTTGAACATTTAATCCACACGAAAACACTATGACCACATGTGGGCCACATATACCTTTCTTGTCGGGTAGTGCTAAGAGTATTTAAGTCACAAAGATAATGTTTTAACACTTTAAAATAACAATTCAAAATGGCTGATCAAAATAGATTTTCTCAAAACATAAATTTTGCGACTTAAGTGCTTTTAACAAAAAGCTCTTTATATATTAAAAAGCTTTAAAAAGATAACATTTTGAATCTCAAACTTTATCCAGTATTTAATGTTCATTACTCCTGACTCATGAATATTCAAAACTTTTAAGCTTCATAATTCTTTCAGATGCATTATTTTTATGTATATATATATATATATATATACATATATATATATATATATATATATATATATATATATATATATATATATATTATATATATATATATATATATATATATATATAAATCAACCTAATAATATCCTAACAGCCACCTGTTTTACTTTGAATTTGAATTATATGTAAATATTCCATTTTGAATTATATGATAAACATTTTAATACTAAAATCCTCATTCAATAAACTTCTTTACCAAAATATACGAATAGCAGCAGAGAGACGTATTTTTTTAAAATAAGATTGGTTGTTTATTTATAAGACTTAAACATTTTTGAAACTAGGATGTGTTAAACCATCACCATCATAAGATGATATTAAATAATATTTTAGCAATTTTTTGTAAAATATTATGGCTGAGAAAAGCTTTCTTTAATAAAATATTCATATTATAACAGTGAAAGTGGTGGTTCGACACCCCCTCTAGCCCCTTTTAATGGCCCTGTAGGTGGAGGCAATTATAAATTTGTAGTCCATTGTTACACCTATCTTTTGATATCAAGTTATAGATATTTAGAATTTTAAGTTATAGATAATTAAAATTGACAAAGTAATAACAATTTAAGTGAAGGAAAATTAAATTTTAACCACATTTTCTTCAACAAATCCATACCAAAAAAAAATTGCTTATAAAAACATCATAATTTTTTATAAAATTGTTTGATTTTAACAATTTTTTCACCTTGAAAATACGGTATTAAAGCCCTTTCTACTTATATATAATAAAATAGCCTTTGATCATTTTAAAACTTTAAATTCACATACCTACTTATAACAATAGCAAACATTAAACTTAGTTAAAAATATTTTACCTAAGTTTAATCTAACCCAAAAAACTTTTCAAGAATAAATAACAAAGAGCATACACAGTTTCCTGCATACTCCAGCATACAACTTTTTTTTTCCACAAAGTTCGTATCAATTTATCAAATAAAAGTTACCCCCTCAACTAGCCCCGTGTATTAATTTTGAACCACGAATATCTATTTCTATCGTATTTAATAATTCTCTAGCTTTTCTTTATATTACTCATTATAAAAATTTGCTCATTATAAAAAAGTTCGGAAAACTCTTATGGAAAAATGAATTAAAAAAAGTCAGGGA